GGCCGCTTTTCATATAATGGTAAATTTCAGAAATGCTTGAAGCTTCAATATTTCGATATTTACGGACGCTAATTTACTCAAAATAGATACACCCCAGCTTACCATGTAGCGGTAGCTTTCGGTAAGGTGAAAAACATATATTTAATACTTGCGCCGGGTATTTAATGTTAGGTTCCGCCCGAACTTAGACTTTCTTAATTGTGGTTCGTTACATAAGATTTGCTGACTGAAGTCTATCATCATGTCTTGTCTTGAGTTGAGTTGAGTTTTCGTACTGGGAATTCGGGCCGATAAAGCTTTGATAGTTGTTATCTACGTATTACAAGTTTTATGAGATATATATATGTACATACTATTAATATGTACATACATGCATCCATACACTCCCGAAGATCGCAATCCACTTGGCTTTGATGGCTGCATAAAATACCAAAAGCTCTCAACCTGGAAGAATAGTACGCGTCTTACGCTTGCAGCTTGAGGGCGTATTGCTGTATTTTAAAGTGGCTTTGGACAGTAAATATATAGCACATATGTACATATGTACATACATATATCCACAAGTATAGGAACACCAGTGATCCTGCTCCTGTTTACATAATTATTTTCACTGCGTGCCGACTGTGGTCTACATATTTATATTACCTAGTATGACTGCTGATTACATCCACAATGGCCAGTTGGGCCGTCTTCATTACAATGGGGCATGTCCCAAGCTCATGGTGGTAAGTTGCGAATATAAAGTGTTTGCTTTTGTATAAACCGGATTGTGCATAAGCAGTGCATTCGGTTTGCATTGAGTGCTTTCAACTTGTTAACATACATACCAACATCACATATTATGTACGTATGTATACAGACTAGGGGCCGGGTACTCAATGTCTGGTTAGTAGCTTAGTTATGCATACTTGACGTTGCATGAGAGTTGTCACATAAAAAATCTGTTAAATGAGCTTTGCATGGAGTGAGTAACGTCGCCAACGATATATAGGGCCGGTTACTCAATCTCTGGTTAACACTAATCTCAGGTTAAACATAGTTATCGACGTTACCGACTCCCTGTTGTATACATGGAGTCGAAGACGTCGATAACGATGTTTAACCGCAGATTAGTGTTAACCAGACATTGAAAAACCGGCCCTTAACTGATTAGTGTTAACCAGAGATGGTGAAAACGGACCTGAGGCCAAATGCTCCATGCCTGGTTAACACTAACTACAGGTTAAACATCGTTATCGACTCCCTGTTATATGTTATGGAGTCGATCACCTCGATAACCATGTTCATCCTGCAGATAGTGTTTACCAGACATATACCACGTTTATGCGACAGAATTCATTACTTCTTCATTTCACACAATCAAAAATGATTCCGTTTATGCATAATTCGCGAATTCATGAAATTAAGTGTTTTGAAAAGGTGGCTAGGTTGTGTTTTTGGCTCTTGTTTGAATTCGCAAAATTATTTAAATGGGTTTTAATGTATTCTATTTTATTCTATTTGAATATTTTTTATATTTGAATAAATGTACGTAACTTTTCCAGGGTTTTAAGTCACGCCCATCATGCTCATTAATCCAAAAACATCATAACCCTAGTTAACAGCCGTTTGTGAAACGTGGCGTTGCCGGCCTTGCACTTCGCGATTTCATGAAATGATGCAGAATTCATGGTTAACAGTCGTGTATAACTGAATTAACGAAATTGTGTTTATGGAGCCACTACCCAAATTGATGACATGTTTTCGTGAATTGGCCTACGCATAAACGTAGTAATAGAGTAACCGGCCCTAAGTGCTCGTCTCCGCAGGATAAAGTTTATATCTGATAAATATGTCTGAATATAAATTGGCAAAGGAGACCGCTAACTACTCTTCAAGAGCAATATATGTATACCAGAGCTTATACATATCTTGCCATCTATTGCCGGCAATTTGGTAGTTTGACAGCTACATTTTCATTTGAACAAAAGCTTCGTGGCGGCAACATTATTGATATTTTAATATAAAAGGAAAAATTGAGCCTATGTACTTGGATGTGAAATAACATATTTTCTAAATTTTTTAAGCGATTAAATTCGACAAAAATACGTTTAAGGGCCGGTTGCTCAAAGCCTGGTTGGCACTAATCGCCGGTTAACATCGTTATCGACGTCTTCGACTGCATGCATATAACACGGTGTCGGTAACGTCGATAACGATGTTTAACCATAGTTTAGTGTCAATCGGGCTTTGAGCAACCGGCCCTTAGAAGCTATCTTACAAATACCCATAT